GGACGGCGATGGCAACGGGGGACAGTGGAGCCCCGGAAACCAAGGTGTGGGGCTGGGGGGCTGTGGGACTCGTGGTGGCTGCGGTGGGATGGGGAGGGATCCCGCGTCACCTGTATCCCCACACCGGGCTGGGTCAGTCCCCGTGTCCCTACGCCACGATGGGGCCGTCCCTTTGTTCCCATGTCCCCACACCAGGATGGGGTTGGTCCCCACATCCCCATACCACGATGGGGTTGGTCCCTGCATCCCCACACCATAATGGGGTCACTCCTCACATCCCCACACCAGGATGGAGTCGATCCCCACATCCCCATTCCACAAAGGGGTCGGTCCCCACATTCCCACACCATGATGGGGTCGATCCCCATGACCCCACACCAGGATGGGGTTGGTCCCCACATCCCCATACCACGATGCGGTCGGTCCCCGCGTCCCCACACCATGATGGGGGGTCGCTCCTCACATTGCAACACCAGGATGCAGTCGATGACTGCGTCCCCACACCACGATGGGGTCGGGCCCCGTGTCCCCATAACACGATGGGGTTGGCTCCCATGTTTCCATGTCCCTTTGCCAGGATGGGGGTCAATCCCAGCATCCCCATACCACGATGCGGTCGGAGCCCTTGTTCCTGTGTCCCACCACCACGATGGGGTCAGTCCCCACATCCCCATACCACGACGGGGTCGGAGCCCTTGTTCCCGTGTCCCAACACCACGATGGGGTCGGAGCCCTTGTTCCTGTGTCCCAACACCACGATGGGGGTCGGTCCTCGTGTCCCCATAACACGATGGGGTCGGAGCCCTTGTTCCTGTGTCCCAACACCACGATGGGGGTCGGTCCTCGTGTCCCCATAACACGATGGGGTCGGAGCCCTTGTTCCTGACCCCGCGGGGGTCGGAGCCCTTGTTCCCGTGTCCCAACACCACGATGGGGTCGGAGCCCTTGTTCCTGTGTCCCAACACCACGATGGGGGTCGGTCCTCGTGTCCCCATAACACGATGGCGTCAGAGCCCTTGTTCCTGTGTCCCAACACCACGATGGGGGTCGGTCCTCGTGTCCCCATAACACGATGGGGTCGGAGCCCTTGTTCCTGTGTCCCAACACCACGATGGGGGTCGGTCCTCGTGTCCCCATAACACGATGGGGTCGGAGCCCTTGTTCCTGTGTCCCAACACCACGATGGGGGTCGGTCCTCGTGTCCCCATAACACGATGGGGTCGGAGCCCTTGTTCCTGTGTCCCAACACCACGATGGGGGTCGGTCCTCATGTCCCCATAACACGATGGCGTCACTCCCCATGTCCCCATACCACAATGGGGTCGGTCCCCAC